ACAGTAAACCCTCACTTTACTTGGTCAATTGAACCCAAGGAGGCCAGCGTGGCGAGAAGCAGTAAAGTGAACAACACAACATATGGGATTAAATGAAATAGAGACCGGCTGACCCCCAAACTCCACTTTTTCCGACACAATACCTATGTTCTAGTAAAATAACATCTTAATTTTATGATGGTACATGCACACAATTAATACTTAAGAAAAATGAAAATACAGTCGCATAGTTAATGTCCATTCAAATAATGGACTCAACTCCTCCCCTCTTCTCACCTCCTGGCTCTTCCCTCTCTGAGAAATTTTTGGGGAAAACCACTAAATTTTAATAAATAATACCTCAAACTAAAGTTAGGATAATACAATTGACATTGCTGGATTCCTTGTAAGACCAGGAATATTTTGAATATAAATGTCATATATTTTGCACAAAGATAACATATCTACTCAGAGTAAACATTTTATCTAAAATTTGTATGTCTAATGCAAAATCTATGATGTTTATATTCAAAATGATCATCAAATTATAAAATTCCAGCAATGTAAATTATATTCTGACGGGTAATTTGTATGAATTTTATGAGCTAAACAAATATCTTCAGTTAATAAAAAATATATTCTTCGACACTATCTGTCAATCAAAGTACCCCTCTTCCAACGCGCCAGATGGTCGGTCGGTCCCAACCCTCCCCACCCCCACCTTCCCTCCCTACCAGATAAATGTTGGGTGAAAAAACTAATTTTAACTTTTAGTAACAAATAATACCTCAGACTAAAGTTAGGATAATATAATTGACATTGCTGGATTCCTTGTTAGACCAGAAACATTTTGAATATAAATGTCATATATTTTGCACAAAAGATAACATATTCACTCAGAGTAAACATTACATCTAAAATTTGTATGTCTAATGCAAAATCGATGATGTTTATATTCAAAATGATCATCAAATTGTAAGAATTCCAGCAATGTAAATTATATTCTGGCAGGGTAATTTGTATGAATTTTATGAGCTAAAACAAATATCTTCAGTTAATGAAAAAAAATATATTCTTCACACAGTGCCAGATGATCGGTCGGTCCCTCCCTCCCCCGCACCCTCCACCAACCCTCCCTACCAGATAAATGTGTGGGAAAACCAGAATATTTACCTTTTTAGTAATAAATAATACTTCAGACTAAAGTTAGGATAATATAATTGACATTGCTGGATTCCTTGTAAGACCAGGAATATTTTGAATATAAATGTCATATATTTTGCACAAAAGATAACATATTTACTCAGAGTAAACATTACATCTAAAATTTGTATGTCTAATGCAAAATCTATGATGTTTATATTCAAAATGATCATCAAATTGTAAAATTCCAGCAATGGAAATTATATTCTGTGGATAATTTGTATGAATTTTATGAGCTAAATAAAAAAATTATACTTCACCCGCGTAAAGGGGTACACCCACCGCGGAATGTGAGCATCCTGGGTTCTGGCAGGGCACCGTGTAGCGTGGAAACGCGGAATGTGGGACCGCGTAAAGTGAGGGTTGACTGTATTACTGGGTATTATTATTACTATCATTTCAACTTGGAATAATGTAGCCTGAAATGGTTCCACCAACCATCACACACTGAGATTGCTGTGACAAATAAGACTCAAGCAATGAGTGTGTATTCTCACAGATACCAAACAACGAAAGATCCTAAAGCAACAAGAGGACGTTCCTGTGCAAGTGTTTATTACTAAATTATATGAATTTTACATAAAGCAGTTTCAGTTGATTGGTACTTCTTATCGACTGACTGGACTTGAGGGACCATTCCATTCCTCTCTAATAGAGGAAATAACTGATTCAGCATAGCACACTGTATGATCTTTGATAAAAATGAGAGATTGGAGATGGGACAATGATTTGACATACATTTAGTTTCATAAAAATTGGACATCATAATGTCTGTTTCTCAGATTGCACAAAATTACCCTCTGTAAAGCATTTATTTATGATTCTACAAATAAAGTCTGCAGCATGTTCATAAGTGAGTGGTACCTTTTATAAACTAATAGCAATTACAGTATTATGTAAATAATGTCAATTTTATTGAATGAACAACATAAAAGAGAAAAGTCAACTCCTGTACGCAATACATTGTTGTTTCTGATTGAGGAAAGGCTGGCATTACTGTAGGTTGTGTGAGAAGGGTAGTGTAGGGTTGGTTGTCAGGGTTGGTCATCATCAGGTAACAACAGGATCATGGTGAGTGGAGAAAAGGTGCTCAGGTTGGATGACAGGGGTACTGTTGCTTTAATCTAGAGCTATGGAGTGAGCACCTACGGTAAACTGGCAAGAGTGCTAGAGGTGTTGGTACCACTGGCTGTTGTGTTGAGGTTGACTTTTTCTCTGGGATGTTTCTCTAAAGCTTCAAATAAACAAAAACAGTAGATATTATTATCCTCCTATCTGTAAACTTTACTCCAGGTTGAGATCCATATCAATCCCTCCCTGGATCACTTGGTTAACAAACACAAGGTAATGAACCAGCCACTTGGTCCTCAGCTGGTTTTGTTGTACAGTACACTAACTTCTTTCTGCTCTGCCACTTCCTTTTCCCTGAGCTGTCAGGTCTGTTAAAGCCTCTGGAGTCAATTCCTCCACATTAGACTCGAGCAGCTCTTATCACATTAGTTTTTTCACAGGCATTTTCCACATTTGCTTGGGTTAGCTGTCCATGCTGCAGTTTCGCAGGAAGGTAACTATAATAATCAGAGATTTATTCATTCATTTATTGTACTATGTCTACAATTGTTTCAAAACTGCTTTGAAGAGAGACAAGATCAAATAAAAGCAAACTCAAAATGATTCTGATGTATTTGAAATGTACATTGACAACATAATTGTCAATGTATCTTCTCAATTTTTGTTGGTAGTAACTTACACATGATAAGATAGTATACTTTGTAGTATTACTCAATAGATTTTGTCTCATGTTTCAGTTGTGACAATAAAAGACAATAAAAATATCTGTTTACAGAATATATATTTAATCACTGTACCACTTTCAGAATCTCATTCTCACATCTCCACAGTGTGACTTATTTTTATGAAGTATTTGCTACTGCTGTAATATTTGCAGCCCCCCATTCCAGATTGCTAATTAGCTTATAATTATGAAACATAGTTAAAATTCTGGGCAAATATACTACATATATTTACAGTAACATTCTTAACTGTTCATGTCAGAGTAAACAAGTTCAAGATTAGTTCTCCACTCTTCCTTCAGGGTGACCAGAACCATGAGCAAAAATATACTCTACTTCACTTAAGTAAATGCAGTTACAGTATATCAACATAACCCACTTGATGCTATGCTCTAATCATGCACTCCGTTGCTTCAAGGATGGCCATCCCCACTCTTCTAAAACCTTCCTTCTCCCTATTTGTACATGTTCTTGTCCCACCCTCACTTACCTATCGTCAATGTCTGAATGAATTACTGTACGTACTACCAATTTACCATTCATTCACTTGATACATCCAATCCATACCACTTTGGAAAATCCTGGGCACCTCTCTGTTCAATGCATCTTTCAGTCCTATACATCCATTTAATTTCTGTATCTTTTATTATCTGCACCTTTATTGATCCCCAAGCACCTCTTGAGCACATCACTGCCATCATTTCTAATTTGTTTCCTTCTCCTGCATCCAGAGTTCAATAATTCATTCACACATCCTCAACTCTGCTTACTTGTCACATTAACATGGTCATACGAGTACAGGTACAGTATATGAAAAACTTCATATGCATTACAATATATATATAGCAAAGATTCTCTATCTGATTCTCAAATGTTGTTACTTGAGAGGGTGGCTTTTGACATATCAATCCATTGAAGGTTGAAGGTGTATACAGTATTACAAACGATAATAAAACTATGATATACAGTAAATATTCAGTAACAAAGATTTACTGTTATATTACAAAATATTAGGGTCATTCATTTTTTCAGGAGCATTTTTCGGAAGTCCTCATTACTCATCTTAGCTGGAGGTCGTGCAGTGGGAGCCTCCGAAGCAGCTGTGGAAGTTGAAGGAGCACGTAAGAGAGCTCGAGGCATCAAATTGAACATGCCCTTACCTCGACTGCCATCTAATTTCTTTCCTTTACTGCCACCACCTAAAATATTTTCCCCCAGGACTGATGTAGCTGTACCAGATGAATTTTTTTTGGCAGAGGGGTCACTAATGAGCACAGAAATCACTTTACCTTCTAGCTCTGTCCCATCCATGGCTTGCTGAACTTTTCCTGCCGTAACTGCGTCATAATAGTCTATGTAACATGTGCCTTTGGTGACCATTTGAAAGGTGACCAGCCGCAGTGCCTTAATTTCTCCATGTGGCTCAAAGGCTTTCCTTACATCACTTTCTGTCATTGAGAATGGCAACCCCCTTATAAACAATTTGTCTTTCTCCAAGTCTGTACCATATTTGAATTTATGAGAATGGTTATTGGGGTCATACTGTGAAACATAAACAGGACGTCCACTGATGAGAGTTCGATCACGTTCTAAACATTTCTCAACACCTTCACGTGTCTTGAAGACTAAGTAGCCAAAGCCCTTACTTCGACATTTGTAATCCTTCACCAGCCTAAAATCTAAAATTTCACCACAGTCACTAAATAATGGAATTATTTCATCCTTTCCTATTTTGAAGTCCAAGTTGCTGATGAAGACAGTACACAATTCATCTTTGGGATCCAATTCTGTGAGAACACCATACTGCTGTCCAACTGAAATAGAGAAATAGAGTAAGTAAATAATGGATGATATGAATGAGTGATATCCCCGTTAGCCAGAACAATTGGTGCCGAGCACTTCCGGGAATGAGTGATTTACAGGTAACAGGACGACTCTCTCAAAGACGAAAAAATCCCCATCCCGAATTTCTGATAGAGAAAAAATTTTCTCAACTCCCCATCCCTGAATTTTCAGAGTACTGCGAAAAATTTCTTGAAAATTTCCAGAAAATGTGCCCCTCAGAAAATTGTTCCCAAAGCCAGAAGAGACATTACTGTAATCTATAAACACAGAACTTAACATGAAATCACAGTTGGTAACAGAGCCTTAGCAGAAAAGATCAAGACATGACAGTAGTGGTTTAATCCAAAATTGACTTTTACTTCCCCCTCAACATCCTTGGTCCTGAAAATTGTCCGTAAAACATCTTGCAAAAAAGATACAAAGAACAAAACTTCGGCCTTTGTCTCTTCTTTTCTTTTCTCTAAGGTCTTGAGTCCCATTGCAGTAGCAAATGACTCACTATGTAATAGCCAACTAGCATACAGAATTATTCAGCAAATTTGCTGTAATCTCTCACTGAAAAGAGAAGATGGTCAGGGTCTGAAAGAATGGTAGGATTCTACAGAAGATTTTCAAGGCATCAGAACATGGAATAACTGATCTCACTTTTGTATCGACATTGTCTAAAGCAATAGTCCGCATATTAAATAACATTACCAATCCCATATATATATATATATAAATATATATATATATACAGTAAT